GGACCTCCCAGGTGTGAACGTCTTCTTCTTCTTCTCCTTGAACCTCTTCTTTGTCAATTGGATTGTACTCTAAAGGTCCAGACGTGTCTAGACCGGCCATCTGAAATTCAGAAAAAAAAATTTTTTTTTTGAAATTTTCAAAATTCAATAAATATGATTTTTTGGGATTTTCAACCGCATTTAGCATCAAATTTTCGTAGAAAAAATGCTAATTTTAAGCCGAATGCTCAATATTTTATTTTTAGAAAAAATAAATTTTCAGACAACAAAATTCCAGAAAATTCTGGAAATTTTCTAATATTCCGGGCGGTAAAATTTAACGAAAAAAAGACAGCAACAACAGAAAGAACGAAAAAAGGCGAAAAAAACTTGCAAATGCGCTCCATTGAGAATATTTTGAAATGCTATCAAAGGAGCGCATTTGCAATTTTTTTTTTTGAAAAATTGCAAAAAAAAGGTGGATTTCAACGGAAAACAACAGAGAAACAGAGAAAAATTTAAAAATTTTGGAAAATTGAAAAAAAATCTAAAAATTCCAAAAAAAATCGGATTTTCGAATTTTTCGAAAATTACAGAATTCTAGATTTCCAAAGAAAAATGGCGATCAAATTGTCTGGAATTACACAAAAAATGCAAAAAATAGAGTTGCAAATCTGAAAAATTCGAAAAAAAATCGATAAAACTAAAAACAACTTTTTCGAAAAATATCGATTTTTCAGAATTTTCAGCGAATTTTTTTTCCGAATTCTCAAAAAATTCTTACAAGAAAAACAACGAAAAACACTGAAAATTGTAAAAAAATATGTGAAAAATCTTGAAAAAATCCGAAATTTTCAGAAAATTTTTTTTTCGAAAATATCGATTTTTCCAAATTTTCAGAAAAATTGAAAGACAAAAAAACAGACGAATATTTCAAAAATTCTAACAGAAAAAATAACAAAAAACCGTGAAATATATCAAAAAATAGCAGGAAATCTGAAAAAAAAATTCTGGAAATTTATCGATTTTTCCAAATTTTCAGATTATTTTCAGTCGAATTTCAATAATTCTAACAGAAAAAACAACAAAAAACCCAAAAATATTTCAAAAAAGAGCTAAAAATCTTGAAAAAATCAAAAATTTTCAAAAATTTTTTTTTTTGGGAATTTATCGATTTTTCCAAATTTTCAGAAAAAAACGCAATTATTTCAAACTCTAACAGAAAAAAATTTCCAGAAAATTATCGATTTTTCTTCTCAAAAATCCATGAACTGCGAAAAATCGATATTTCCAGATGAATTTCCAGAAGAAATCCCAGAAGACGTCGATGGATTTTCAGCAGAATTTCTGAAAAGAAATTATCGATTTTTTTTTTAGGAAATTCGAAAATTTACCCTAGCATAGTTAAGCTGAGCAATGCCTCGAGCTCATCCGAATCCATTTTTGGCATGAGCAATTCAGATTTTTCCGGTTTTTTCTCTTCAGAAATGACCAATTTTTCAGATTTTCCTTCAGAATTTTCTAGAAGCTTCTGGAGCTCTTCTCGTATTTCCAGCTCCATTTCGAGGCGATTTTGGGTCATAAAAATCTGCAATTCCAGCACCGCCATTCTCAAATCTTCGTTAGTTCGGCATTTTTGGGATGCATTCGTCGATGTATTGGTTTTCTCCTTATGACGAACGTCCATGATTTTTTGTAGCTTTAATTCCAGATTTTTCACATTCTGAAAATAAAATTTCCGGAATTCGGATATGCCAGTAGAGCGCATTTTCAATGTGAAGATTTTTGAAAATTTCGAAAAAATATTTTTTTTCAAAAATTTCGAAATTTTTTACATCGAAAATGCGCTCAAAATTTTTGAAATCGAATAAATTATCAATAGAGCGCATTTTCTATGTGAAAAAATGTAAAAGATTTGAACAAAAATTTTCGTTTTTTTTCTAGAAATTTTTAGCGAAAAATTGTCAATAGGGCGTATTTTCAATCCCTAAAAATTAGAAAAAAATTTTTTTTTGAAATTTTTCGAAAAAAAAATTTGTGAAAAATCTTTTTATTGCCTGCGAAATTGTCAATAGAGCGTATTTCCAGACCTCATCCAATCTCCTATATTTCTCCAAATTCCCCTCAACAGCTCTCCGGCGAATCTCATTTTTCAAATTTTCCAGCAAATTTTTATCGATTTTTCCCGAATTTTCCACTTCCATCGTGCGATTTTCGACTTGGATTCTCATGAATTTCAGATTTAAGTCTCGAAAATTATCGATTTTTTCCCGCTTTTTCTCCCGTTTCCGATTTTGATAGTTTCTCGTCGAGTTTCGAGCGATCGCTCGCTTATAAGCTTGTCTGGCCTCTGGTGTCTGAAAATTTCATTGAAAAATCGATTAAAAATCAATAAATTTGACCCGGAAATCGTTTATTTTAATAATGAAAATCGATAATTGAGTTTTATACCATTTTCTGAAGATCCGCGGTTTTACGACGCATCGGTCCGAAATAATCGATTTCAGGCATGTCTGAAAATGGGCGGAGCCTATCAAAAAGGCTTTCTCCCTCGATTTTTTGATTTTCGAAAACTGAAAAATCGATTTTCTCAAAATCCATGTTTGACCACCTGAAAAATGATGCAATTTATTTTGGAAAAACCGAATTTTTTAGCTGAAAAATTCATTCGGGAAAAATCGATAATTGACCGAAGAATTCGAAAAAAAACTCAGAAAATCGACGGTTTTTAGGGCAAAATACGGTAATTTTCCTGATTTTTTGAGCAATTTTCGAAAGGTGCGATGGAGCGCAGACAACACGAAAGAGAGAAAACTGGTGGGAATTTTGAAAAAAGAAAACTTGGAATTTTGGGAAAAATGAAGAGAAAATCAGATTTTTCAGAGTTTTTCAAGGGAAATTTCGGCGGGAAATTCGAAAATTCTAAAAACAAAAAATTTAACATTTTCGGAGCGCGATTCTCGAGTTTTTCAAATGAAATTTTGGCGGGAAATTCGAAAATTCAAATTTTTCAGCTCGATTTTCGAATTTTCCGGAATTTTTACAAAATGCCGAAAATTCGAAAAATCAGAATTTCAAATGGGAAATTCGGCGGGAGAACCTTCTCTGAAAAATAATAATCTTTAAAAAAAAAGAATTTTTTTACAAAAAAAAAATTTATTCGATGTGAGTGAGAGGGGTACAAAATAAAAGGGCGGTACATATAAAAATGGAAAAAGTGGGCGGAGCCTAGTCTCCACCCACTTTTTTTCGCTTTTCCATCGTTTTTTGGAGGGAAACGATGGAAAATTACCGTTTTTTTCAACCAACAACTTTATCGATTTTTTCGCATTTTTCTAGGTTTAAAAATAATCGATTTCAGAGCTGAAATTTGACATTTCCTGAAAAGTGGTTTAAAGTTCGCTAGAAAGTTGGCGAATTCCATGCGGCAGTGCTGGGAGAATTTTTTTGGGCTAGTCTATCTCGGCTCCTGTGAAAGATACCAAAAGGTGGACTCAACTGACAAAATGTTACTGATATTATGATGAACATTTTGCTAGTTGACCACTTTTTGGTATCTTTCACAGAAACCGAGATAAATCGGGACGAAGGAGATTGCGCTTGATTTTATCGACGTCCAGCTCTGGCTCCAGCTCAATGAGTTCGGTCGCAAGTACGATTTTCCAGAATTTCAGCTTGGCGAGCTTCAAGGCAGCTTTGGCTCTGGATTTTTGGGAGGCATTGGTCATCAAATTAGTCCCAGGTAAGTTTCTTCGTCTCGCGATGTCTTCCAACTCATTCTCCAGCTTTCGAATTCGCTGGAAATTATTGATTTTTTCAGAAATTAAACCCAGCAAGAGAACTGCCATTTGCAGCTCATCCGGACCTCTGATTTCGTTTTGTTGAACATCATGTTTAAGCTCTTCGTGAGCATCTTTACCGGAAACTCTCGAAAATTCTTTTTCCAGAATTTTAATATTCTCTTCCAGCTCTTTCATTCTCTGTTTCTTTCTCAATTGGAAGTTTCGGGAGTTCCTTTTGTTTGCTGCTCATTTAGCTTCGATGGATGACTGAAAATTGGGGAAAATCGATTTTTCATGTCAAAAAAATCGATAAATTGATTTAACGCCGGTTGTTTCATCTTTGTAGCTTCAAAGTCGCTCATTGATTTTGAATTTCTGTTGTAGTTCGCTTTTTTTTGCAGAAAAAATCGCTGAAATTAGGCGAAAAACAACAAAAGTAGTGATTTTCCCACGATCTACAGTACCCTCTCGCGCGGCGAGACCCACCGTCATGGCGGGAAATTTGAAAAAGAGACATGAAATCGTGAAAAAGAGGGTTTTTGGGAGTTTCAGACCTAGAATTTGCCGGGAAATTATCGATTTTTCGCAGAAATTTTTGGTTGGCGCTAAAATGGAAAATTTTCAGATTTTTTGACTGAAATTATCGATTTTAGGAGATCAAATCCTAATAAGAAAAAATTCAGAAAAATAACGATTTTTTTGATGAATTGCAGACCTAGAAATTGCCGGAAAATTATCGACTTTTTGCTTGAAAATTGAGGTTTTTGAACTGAAATTTTCGAATTTTCCGAGATATTTTTTCCCAGTAAAACAGTTCATTGATTTCAGAATGAAAATTAATACAAAAAATGGTAAAAATCATAAGAAAAGGGCGCGGAGCTTAGAGCTAATTCTAGTTTGACAAAAAATCGATAAAATTGGGAAAAGTGAGAAATTTAATGGGGTTAACAATAAAATTTGGGGAAAGGTGATTGATATTTTTGGGTTTTTTGCGGGGACCTGCAAACACACTCTAATGATAATTTCAGCTATCATCGCTGTCTGCGAAAAAAGGTCGAGAGCAGCATATCTCGCAAGTGCGGAAACTACCGTACTTTCAGCTTATTTTTTGACCTTTTCGACGATCTTTAACGGGATTTTTGATGTAAATCGAGGAAAAATGATTTGAAACGCTGAAAATCGTCGAAAAATTAGGCTCAAAGTACGGTAGTTTCCACACTTGCGCTTCTAAGAAAAATTTACCGAGATATTCCGCTCTCAACCTTTCTTCTCAGCGATAATAGCCAAACCTAAGAAACCTGTATTGAAATTCCAACTAGAGCGCGTTTGCAGTCAGGGAAAGACACCTAGGGAGCTACAGAAAATTTCTGGAAAATCGATAATTCGACACTCCACCGATTCCGCTTTCTTTTAAAAGAAAGCGGAATCGATCGCACAAAGTGAGGCCCCTCAAATTGAGGAACATGAGGAGCCTCACACTAGTAGCTACCATAACAGCCAAGCTGGCATATATGGTACTGTCTATTCAATAAAACGTGGACTGTAGATCGTGGGAAAATCACTACTTTTGTTGTTTTTCGCCTAATTTCCGGATTTTTTCTGCAAAAAAAAGCGAACTTCAACAGAAATTCAAAATCAATGAGCGACTTTGTTTTACACCTCGAAAATCGATAATTTTGGGTGAAAATTCCCTTAAAACTAGAGATTTTCCTTTTTCCCGATTTTCCCTTTTTCTCCTTGAATTTTTGCGGTTTCTATGGTTTTTCAGGCTTTTAAAGTTCGAATTTTACACTCTAAACCTTGAAAAATCAAATTTTTCGCGGTTACAACCTCAAATTTATGTATTTTCGATTTTTTTTCAAAATTTCCTAAAAATTTAAAATTTTTTCCCGAAAGATCGACAAAATGGATATTAACAACGAGAATTCCGATG